GACAGGGGGCAGAACCACTGAGTTAAATCCCTGGCCATCAAGAATATATAAGAGGGATGGTGAGAGTAGGAATCCTTGCCTTGGTTTTTTTCTTTTCTGGCACTGGGGATTGAACTCAGGACCTCGCGCTTGCCAGGCATGGTGCTGTACCACTGAGTTACTTCCCTAGCTCTGCCTCATTCTTGACTGTTATGAGTTGAAATGGTAAGCGGGTTGCCACAGTGGCTATTGAAATATAATTAATAGGCAAGGACCTTGAAAACTATATTGTACTTCTGGGATTTGCATGAGTTTCACGTACTTCCAAACAGTAAGTCTCCAAGGAAATCACATTTTTCAGAGAGCTCGACAATCAGAGATTTAGGCCTACCATCTTCACAAATAAACTTAATATACCACTAGATTAATGACATCATGGAAAAAGTAAGTTTCCATGGGATTTTCTATTTTGTTTTCTGTTGTTTTTTTGAGACAGGGTCTCCCCATGCAGTTCAAGCTGGACTTGAACTCACTGTGTAACCCAGGGTGGCCTCTAACTTGTGGCATTCCTCCTGCCTCAGCCTCCAGGGTGCTGGGATTACAGAAGTGTGCCACAATGCCCTGCTGATTCCATGATTTTTAATTCTAGGATCCTCTTTTTTTTTTTTTTTTTTTTTAATTGGTGGTACTAAGGATTGAACTCAACCTTTGCCCTGAGCTATATCCCAGCTCTTTTTCCCCAGTACCAGCAATAGAACTCATGGCCTTGCCAGGCAGGTACAGCACCACTGAGCTATATCCCCAGCACTTCTAGGATCCTTTTAACTGTTAAAGATCTAATGTTCTTGCACCTGGAACACCTTTGCTATTATGGTGTGTCATTCCCTTTCGACAACCATTAAAACTGATGATATGTATCTGGTTTCATTTCATTGTTGGGGTCCTTAGATTTTGTTACCATGGCTGGCTACATAGCAGGATATGCCTATATGACCAGCCTCCCATAAAAAGTCTCAGACCTTGAGACTCAAAGATTTCTCTGGGCAGAGATAGTCCACATTTGTCTCTGAAATTTGCTCTAAGAGAGAGTAGAATGCTGTATGGCCACAGATGGACAAGGAAGGTCACCAAAAACCTAGGCTGGACCTCCAGAGTCTGTTGCTTTTTTTTTTTTAAAGATAGGGTCTCGCTATGTAGTCCAGACTTGGCTTGAACTGTGTAGCCCAGGTTGGCCTCAAAACTCTCGGCAATCCTCCTGCCTCTGTCTCTCTTGTGCTGGGATTACAGGTGCACACCACACATCTAGCTTTTCTGCTGCTTTTGCTCTGTGTTCTTTGTAAAAAAGAAAAAAAAAAAACTTAGTCATTATCAATCTAATATTGAGTCTTATCCTTTTGCTAAGTTGCTGAATAAAACCACAGTGGAACAATTTGGCCATTTCCAACACTATTTTTCACATTTGTTAGATTCACCTCTTGCACAAACACAGCAACAGCTATGATTATATTACCCTTGCCTTTAGTGAGATGGCAACTTAGAGGTTATGAAGGACAATTTCTGTGGCTCAGAAGAGCCATTCGTCCGTTATGAATGTAAGTCAGGTATCAGGATCCATCAGGATAAACAAATAGCATCAAACTTTTCAGTGGCTTGAAATAAGAATTTATTTCTCATGCTACAGTGAGGCTTGACTGGGACTCCACTCTGCACTGTCCTCCCTGCAGGCCCCCAGCTGACAGAGCAGCCTCCAACTGGAGCACTGTGCATGGCAGTTCCAGAAGGAAGAGAGTTCTGAATGAAGACTCTCATTTCAGCATCAAATGCTCTGATTCTGAGTTGTGCACATCACTTTCACTCTCACTGATGAGAACTAGAAAAATAGTCCCACCAGATTTCAAGGGAACCAGGAGTGTAACCCTACTAATTACATTTCCAGAAAACAACGGGGGACCAAAATATTTCATTTACAGTCCTAATGACTAACATAGTTATCTATTAGTTGAGGAGGGCCTCCAGTATTTGTCCACGTTGGAAGTATCAGCCTTTTTCTGCACTGTCTACTTTCAGGAACAGAACATTTCCAACAGGAAAAAGAGCACAAAGTGGCAGGGATTCTCAACTGGTGAGCAGATGGACATGGTAGTATGCTAGAGGGCTCAACAAAAGATTGGGGGCATGTGAAGTTTGGAAAAGGCTTTAGGCTGGGCATGGTGGTGCTCACCTATAATGCCAGAACCCAGGAGGCTGAGGCAGAGGACTGTCTGGGCTACATAGAAAGACCCTGTCTGAAAAAACAAACCACAGCCAGGGATTTAGATCAGTGGTTCTGTCACCTGCCTCGCAAGCCCAAGGTCCTGAGTTGGATTCCTGGTAAAAACAAAACAACAAAAAAAAAAACCCACAACAAAATCCAGGCTCGCGGACCGGGGATTTAGCTCAGTGGATCAACTGCCTGACTTGTAAGCATAAGGACCCAAGTTTGATCCCCAGTGACAAAAAAAAAAAAAGAAAAGAAAATCCAGGCTCGGTGGCACATGCTTGTAATCCCAGTACCATGCTGGGGCAGGAAGACTGCATGTTTGGGCCCAACCCAGGCAACTTAGCAAGACTCTCAAACTAAAAAATAAAAGCCAGGTATGCTGGCACACACCTATAATCTCAGAAAGTTGAGACAGGAGGATCACCGTGAGTTCGAGGCCCAGATCGGCCTACACAGTAAGTTCAATACCAGCCTAAACTACATAGCAAGACCCTCTCTCGCTCTTTTTTTTTTTTTTTTTTTTT